GGGCTGTTTTCGGGGACACAGAGGTGGGCCTACACAAGTAGCCCATGCTTTGCTGATCTGGTATCTGCTCCAGAGTTGAAAGCAGCGTGTCCAGCCCTCCTGGGGCGTCTCACGTCTGCCATGTTTTTCTTCCCCCCGAGGTGGCCATGGCTGCCCCTGCCTTTGCTTAGACCTGCTCTACCGGATGCGGTGGCCGCTAGCTATATGTAGTCAGAATTGAGGTGAGCTGTAAGTGTAACCTACACATAGGATCTTGAAGACAATATGAGGAACAAAAATAGCTCGTTAATTTTTTTATATTGATCACATGTTGAATAATTATATTTTGGATATATTGGGCTAAATAAAATGTATTATTAAAATTATTTTTTCTGTTCCTTTTATTAAAATAATGTGGCTACTAGAAAACTTAAAATTACATATTAAATTACATAATTACTAGTATGTATAAAATTATGTACACATGACACATGTGGCTCACTATGTTTCTGTTAGTGCCGGCGTAGAGGCTCACTGTGTGGGGGATCTTTTTAGCGAAGAGTCAGTCTTGCCTCCTCAGCCTGCAGCGCAGACCTCGCTTCCTAACACCTTCACCTCGCTGCCTCCCAAAGTGCCAGTGCCGGCTCTGAGCTGAGCCCCTGCGGCTCTCACCAGCACAGCCGAGCCCTCCCCCGCTCTGCAGCACCCTCCGCAGGTACCCCACCCCCCAAGGCCACCCAGCACACTTAGAATAAGGTCCAGAGCCCGGCTCTGGGTCCAAGCCCTGCATGATCTGGCCCTGCCCGCTCTGCCCTGGTTCTTTCTTTGCTTTCATCACCAAACTCACTTCTGCTCTTGGTGCTTTGCACAGCTCTTCCTTCTGCCCGAAGCCTCCTCGCGTCTCCCCTGGGCTGGATTTCCCTGGGTTTGGCCTCCTCTCGCTTGCACCTCCCCGGAGATGCCCCTTGACCTTGGGGTCTAAAGCTTTGCCCTCCCTCCAGCACGATTGCATCACTGGCTTCTTTGCAGCCCAGCACTTCTCTCTCTCCAAAAGGATCTTCCTTCAGATGCTTGTTTAGTTGCTTAATACTGTCCCCTCTTAGCTGAGCTGCACCCCTGAGAGCAGGCACTCTGGCCGTCTTGCTCGCTTGCGGTGGTGGCAGTGTCTGGCATCGGCAGGCCCGGAGTACACATGTGTTATACGGATGAATTGGCTTTAGTCCTCATCACCAGCCTACGAGCCCGCTACTGTTACTTTCCCCACTTTACAGGCGAGGAAACCAACGCTCAGAAGCGAAAGAAATACCTTCGTTCCAAAAGTCATAGGAAAAGGTAAAGAGGCAAGAGTCAGGCTTGGGGTCCAAGGGCTGCAACGTCTAAACGGAACAGGAGCCAAGCAGTTCCGCAATGCTCCGCTCAGATATACGTCTGGTTATGCCTGGCCTTCCTCCAGCCATAGCTCCATACTTGTAGGACCGCTGACCTGGCTCTGAGTTTGGGCTCTGGGGTGAGCAGCATGGAGGTCAGATTCAGAAACACTGGCCCTGCTGATGTCTGCCTCGGCTGCACCCACAGTGAATTTGGGCCGAGAATTGTGTGTAGCTCTGATACCTCCTCCCTCTCCACAGGAGGAGGTCGTGAAGTTGTGGTCCGCAGCCCCTAGGACCATTTTAGCAGAACTTTCTGACTGTGGTGCCTTTGATCCCTGCTCTGGCCTTGGCTGCGTTGCCATAGCTTGGCACAGCTGTTTGCAGTATGCAGGCTGCCACGTCCTGTCATCCCCAGCAGTGGTGCTGCCTGCTCATAGCTGAATGGAAGCATCACCTCTGCAACTTCTCACCCCCGAAACAGGAGGTGTGGAGAGGAGAACACATATCCCAAAGGATGCCAGGAGGCAGAGTGGCGAGGACGGGCAGCGCCCAAAGCCAGCAGCAGGGCCCGTCTGCTGACTGCACTGGCTCTGCGCTAGGCCTTGCTGGGCCATTGTCCCCCCAGGCTCAGCTGAGGACTTAGGGACAAACGACAGTGTGTCTGGAGGCTCTCTGTCTGCATTTACTGGGTCATTTTTGTTTGGTAGAAGCTGGTATTGTCTTGGAACCAGAGAACCTGACTCCAGGCCTTCCCTGCCTTGGTTCGGAACAGGGAAGGGTGAAGCGCTGGGCTATCAGAGCTGGAACCAGGGGACCTGCAATCAGGCTGCCGGGACAGAGGGAGATCGTCCAGTAGGAGTGGCTGCTCGAGGCCCCCTGGCTCCCCGCTCTGAGGCCGCCTCCTGACCCTTGTCCAGATGCACCTGGTCCCCGCGTGCCCTCAGCACAAGGAAGGCACGGGTGCTCCTGCCCCTGCTCCATGAAATACGTGACGAGGGACAGGTTGGATGATTGACAGCCGTGCAAGAAGGGGCTAGGAAACCGTTACAGCTGTGGCCGGAAACAGCGAGTGACTGTGAAGGTTCCAGCCCCCCCTGGACGTCCTTCCCGCCCCTGCAGCCCTAGCCGTGGACCAGTCAGCTCGTGGCTCGGCCGGACACCGCCCTGTCTCCTCACCTGCTCGTAGACGGTTTTCATCAGGTCCACGAAGCTCTGCAGGCTTTTCAACTTGGTCTCCAGTTCGGTCCGTCGAAGACACTCTGTGTCCAGGTCCTGGGGGTGGGAGCCGTGGTGAGTGCTGGGAGAGGGAGTCGGGGGTCCCAGGGCAGGAGTGGGGTGGGGGCCTTTGCTTCCTGGGTCAGAGGGGGGCGAGTCCCAGGGGAGACCTGACTCAGAGCCTGGAGGAGGGGCAGGTGGGGCAGGTATCTCTGTGGTCTTGGGACTCAAGCCTCTGAGGGCTTTGCTGGGGGATCCGGAGGGAAAGCGGGCAGAGGGTCCCCAAGGAAGGAGCCTAGGCAGGCTACCTTCTTCAGCTGGACGAAGGTGAACTCCATGTCTGTGCGCTTGGAGATCTCGTCTTCGTACCTGGGAGGCGAGGAGGGTGGGAGAGAGAGACAGAGAGAGAGAGAGGTGGCTCAGCTGGATGTGGTGGGAGCTTGGGGTTTGGTTAGCCCTCCCTGGGTGGGGCTTAGGGCTTTTGCTGCCTTGTGACAATGAGCAAAAAGTAGTCCTTCCTTCAGGTGGATGGAGCCCCTCTTCTTCTATGACACAGTCCTCCTCCCCCGTGACACCCTAGTGTTGGCTCCGGGGAGGCAGGCCAACCCGTTCTCCTTCCTGACTCTCACCAGTCCTCTCCTGCTGGCGTCTGCCCCCTTGCTGGCTGTGCTCCACATTCGCCTCCTCCAGGAAGCCTCTCCTGATTGGTAGCCCTTTCACCCTGACACTTTATTCCCTCATCTTTTCCCTAGTTCCTCTCCTAGGAGTCTCAGTTTCAAAAAGCTGTGCCCTTGGCCAGGCCTGAACCAGCATCCTGCTTACCCCTCGCCCTCTCCCACCTCTCCCCTGCCCTGCAGCCCCTCCCTCCTCCCTTCTGCTGGATGGTAGGACACCATCCATCGTGTTCCCTCCAGAGGGAGGGCAGGAAGAATGTGGACTCTACAGTCAGACGAACCCTCAGTGTGGTTTTGGGCAGGAAACTCCATCCCTCCTTCCTTGAATCCCTGGTCTACCAGGGGTGTGCCTGTGTGTACGTGTGCATGTGTGTGTGCATGTGTGTGAGTGTGTGTGTGTGTGCGGCCGATGAAGTCCCCTCCTGACACAATGACAGACGTGCACAGTCAGTACTCAGCTAAGAGGGGCCCCCTCTCTTCTCAGCTTTGCCTCCTTTGCTCAAGTCCACCTTGTGTTTGGAACAAGGACACTGTTGGGAGGGGAGATGGGTCCCTGCATGCCTGACCTTACCCTCTTCCTCTAGTCCACACGTCTGTCTTGGCTCCCCAGGCGGGGTGTTGGCCAGCCTCCCCGCCCCCCCGCCCCCTCCCCCCAGCCCTGCCTGCCCCCGGGATGTGGGGGTTCTGTGGCTTCCTGTGTGCTTCCCTCCTCCCCAGGGAATACCTGAATCACCGGGGCTCTAATTACAGCCGCCTGCCCAGCCCCTGACCTCCCAGCCGGGCAGCGTCACCCCTCGCCCACATCAGCTGCGGACCTGCCGCCCTCAGGCCTTCTCTCCCGCCCGCCTTTCCAAGGAGCGGAGGGGGCAGACCCAGGGGTGAGAGCCTGCAGGGCGCTGGGTCTGAAACTCAGTGTGCTGCCTGGTCACTGCCTTGGCTTCCAGCGTCTGCAAGGGGCTCCTAGGGTGCAGGTCACGGTGGCGGGCGGAGGGCGGGTCAGGGACTTGCCAGGGTGGATGAAATGCCCAAGAAGCTTTACCTCAGAATCCTCAGCCAGGCAGGCTGCTGGTCCCATTTCACAGATGGGGAAATGGAGGCCCAGAGAAGGGCCCGGAGGCGCGTGTCAAGCACGGGCCCCAGAGCCAGGCTAGGTGGGCTCCAGTCTTGCTTCCTTGCTCACCAGCCAGGTGACCTTGCATAAGCTACTTGTGTGTGTGCCTCACTCCTGACAACGGTGATGTCGTGAGGATGAAATAAGCAAAACCATGACGTGCTCACCGCAGTGCGTGGTGCCTGCTAAACCTACTGCTACTACAACCACCTAAGCTCCGTTCTCTCCAATGCCAGCCAGGCCCTCAGCCGCTCTGCCTCGGCCTCCAGCATTTTCGGAGAGAAACGGGGGAGGCCTCATGGCAGAGAGAGAGCACAGGAGGTTCTCTCTGCACGGCCTTTACAAACCCTCCGGGCCAGGCTGACTTGAACAGGCCTCCCTCTGGAATCAGGGGGAGCCCAGATCTGAGCAGCCCCTTATGGCCTGGCCCTCCCCACACAAGCCTGGGGGTCAAACCTTTCCCCTTCTCCCCTCCCACCTGGATAGGGGAGCTCTGCCCGCCTGGGAGGGCTGCCCAGTTGGGGCCTCTGTGGTGCCAAACTCCTCTTTGCCTTTCCCATCCTCTGTGCAGCCTTCCTCCCCCCTCCTCATGGGCTCCGCTGGGTTTGGGCCCCAGGTCACCCCTCAGCCGGATGCTCTTGTGAAGGGAACAGACCGCACAGCTGTCTTCCGTGGACCTGAGGTGCTCGCTGTGGCCTTGAGTAGGCTGTGCCTCTAGCGGGGCCTCTGCTTCACTTTTAGTAAGTAGACGGGTTGGCTAGCTGGTGCCTGGGGTCCCCGCTACATCCAAGCTTTGGGAAGTCTCCATCTCTATAGAGGCTGAGGTATGCCGTGCCCCCCGTTTCACCTCCAATCTCTGCCAGTCACCAGCTCCCAAACCCGTTCTCAGCCCTCTCAGCTCGTCACACCCACACCCCCCTCTCTGCCCAGCTTGTTTATATCTAGGAGAGAAGCTGATCTCATCGGCCTTGAGGAGGCAGGGCACACCCCTCCCTGTCAGGGCTTGGGCTGGCGTCTCCCGGCTCCTGGGGGCCCCAGGCTTTGCAAGGCCAGGCGGCAGCTTCCTGGGCTCTGGCCTGCAGACCCGGAAGCCCTCTGGCCTCACTCCCCCCAACTCAGGTGGGTTCCCTACCTGGAGAGAGGATGGGAAGCCCTGAGCCTAAATGTAAAATCAGGCGGCAGATAGAAACCAGGCGGCAGGCCAAATGAGGGGGCTGAGCCAGATTAGAACAAGTAGTGTTTGTACAGAACTTCCAGTTACAAAGTATCTCCGCAGATGCGATCTGGCTGGGCTCATGGGCGCAGCCTCTCACCCTGGATGACATGGGCTGGGATGGGTTTTAGCTGGGATGGGTTTTAGCACGCATGGCTCTGTGACTGCGGACCAGCCCCTGTCCTCTCTGGGCCTGTGATTCCTTCCGCATGCAACCCATGTCCTCCCACCAGCTCTGCCATTCTCTGATCCTTTGAGGGCCAAAGACCTACTAGATACCAGTGAAATGAGTCATAACTTCCCCCATTACGGTCAGAATGGGCAATCAGATTCCGTATGTGTTTATCTAGGACCTGGGAGAGCAGGGCTGGCGTAGAGGTGACCTCCAGGCCAGGGAGGGGCCCAGCCATAAGGACCAGTCCTGGCCAGGGCTGCAGATCACGCCTGTTGGCTGGAAAGTTCCTGGTAGACTCACGGGTGAGGAAACCGAGGCCCCAGAGTGGGGGGAGCGTCCTGTGTGACCATGCCCTCTGACTGTGGCCTGAACAGAGGTGATGCGGAGAGGCGACGGGCAAGCTAAGCCCCAGCCCGGGTCCCTGGACAGGCTGCCCACACCCTCCAGCCCTGTCTGCTGGCTGCTCAGGTCAGCAGGGCTTGGGGCAGGACCCAAACACTGGAGGTGGAGAGGGGGTTGAGCCTCAGCCTGTCTACCCCATTGCCCTGGCTGGAAACCAGACCTGAGAAGGGGGTGAAGGGGGGGTGCAGGGGCAGGGCCTCTCTGCCCTGCCCAGCCTCCGTGTCCGTGAAGCCCTGGCCACTGTCTGATCAGAGAGGGTCCTCTCTCCTCTGAGCCACCCGTGTGCGTGGTCTGCCTTTCTAGACTGGCCAGTTCAGCCCAGCAAGCCTGCGTCAGGGACGGCCCTGTGTGCGGGCACTTCAGCCTTCTAGGGGTAGGAGGGTGGCCACTCATTGCCACCACTGAACTCTCGACTTGCTCCTCACCCAGCCCCAGGTGGTATCAACCCACACAGGAGGAAACTGAGGTTCTCCTGTTAAACAACTGGACAGAGGTCACAAATCTAGGGTGGGAGGGGGCAGGGAGTAAGTCCCTTTCAGTCTATACCTAGACTAGGTCTTAACCACTGAGCTTTCCTGCCGGCCAGCTTGTCCCCCAAAGTCCTAAAAGCACAGTGCAGGCTGGGGCTGTGTCTCCCCCATCTCTCTGGACCCCACTGAGGTCGGCACACACCACCTATAGATGATTGCTTCTCTATTCCAACAAAACCCACTGCTTCCGTCTTCTGCCTGCACCCGCTCCCTTCCCTGCCAGCCCATCCAAGCCCATCGGGACTTCCCACTGCCAGTGGGACGTGAGCGGAGAGCAAGAGTGTTTATGGACACAAGGGGAGGGGACAGGGGACAGTGGCTGCGATGGTGCCCAGGGGTTAGCTGTCAATCACAAACCTGACCTAGTGTAAGAGTCACTATTTGGGGGTGGGGAACTGTGGGTTCACTGCTATACTCCCTTGAAACCTAGAATACTGCCCGGCACATAGTAGGTCCTCCGTAAGTATGTCTGGAGTAAAGAAATGTTTCTTAAAGAAGCTTCCTCTTTTTCTGGCTTGAGTGCCCTGGACCGTGTTCCTGAGTGCAGGTCGGTCCCCACCCACAGTCCCTGCCCACCGCCCCCGAGGGCGCACGCTACCTGATCCGAGACTCCTCGACCTTCTCCAGCATCTGCAGCAGGTTGGCCTCCAGCTGCCCCCGCTCCTGGCTCACTGTGCGCAGCTCCTCCTGCAGCCGGCCCTCGTACTTCTGGTAGAGGTGCCCAAGGTCAAAGGCGGTGGAGCCCTGGCTCTGCAGGAAGCTCCAGCGCGTCTCCAGCAGCTGGTTTCGCTGCTCCAGGGCCTGCACCTGGGAGAGCAGGAAAGCTTCGGTGACAAGGCCAGGGTTAGGCCCGGAGGCCCCAGGACCGCCATTGCACCCCCTCTGGGGCTCCCCTGGGAAGTGGCAGCTCATCGGCTCCCTGCGCCTCTCTGGGGCCCTCGCTCAGCACTCAGATGGCACCTCCAACGGCTGATTGTTCCAACTGAAGATGGTGAGATAAGGAGGGATCCGAGAGAGGTGGAGCCAATTAGCAAAGGTTTCCTAGGGGAGGCGTGGGGCCAGCTAGATGAAGGAAGGGGCCAGGGTGTGAGTGTGAGGGCTCTTCGTGCCCGCCTGGGGCTTGGGTGGGAGACCCCAGGGAACCTGAGGTGTCAGAGGCCCATCTGCCACCCCCCTGGACAAGCCTGGTCTCATCTTGCCTTGGAAACTCAGCAGGGTAGGGCCTGGTTACTACTTAAGTGCTAATCCTCCCGGCAACCATGGGCTTGTAGCCTTGCCAAGCCTCAGTTTCCCCAGCTGGAAGTTGGGGATAATGTCACCTGCCCTGCCCACCTCTGTGGGCTGTTGGGAGGAGAGCCTGGGATGTACTTTGAAATATAAACAAGAGCAAATGCTTCTGTGGCTCCTGCTGGGCATCAGGCCTGTTCTAATGCTTCACATGCTTAACTCATTCAATCCCCGCCACAATCCAAAGGGGTATTGTTATGAGTTGCACCTGCCCGTGAGGAAAGGCAGCACAGAGAGGTGAACTTGCCCAGGGTCACAGGACTAGCAGGTGGTGGAGCAGGTGTGGGCTCCAGTGAGTTTGGGTTTAGGATCTTTTAACCACTGCAACCTATGCCCCCTGTCTGCTGCTGGGTCACCGTGGGCCGTGCCCACCTGCGCCGTGCCCACCTGCCCTTCTGCGCTGGCTTCTGCCTCTAGCTAGGCCAGGTGCGCCTTGAGGACAGAGGCTGGGGGCTCTGGGCTCAGCTGCTCCTCTCAACCTCTGCCTCCTTCACACTCTCCTGCTCAGACTGCTACACGGGCACCCTCAGCTTACTCCTCAGCCACCAGCAGGCCGCCAGGGTCCCTCCTGAGTCCTCTCCTTCCCTCACCCAGTCCAGGCCAGCCAGCCTGGGCTCCCCTGCCTCTTCCCCACCCTGCCTGTCCTCTCCAGGCTCCAGCCTTCTTGGGGTCTACCCTTCCCACCACTCCAGTCCCTCCCCACCTCCCCACCTGCCACCGCCTCCCGCCCTCTGCCCCCCGCCCCATTCCCTCAGTACGAGGCCCTCAGTTTATCTGCTCCTCACTTGTCTGGACCTACCACCCTCCTGTCAGACTGACAGCCACCTGCTCCCTTCTTGGGGTCCCTAACCCCTTGGTGCCGGGACAGGGATAGGCCACGGAGGCAGGAGGGGTGGCTGGGCCTGGCTTCTGGACAGTGTGGGCTGTCGTGGTCATGAGGATGTTGTGATGACAGCTCCATGGTGTTCCCTGTGACCGCAGGTGAGTAGCTGGGCCCCTTGCTGCCCACTGTGGGCACCAGCTCCCAGAATCACAGCCAGGAGCCTTGGTCCATACCCTTCACTTACAGAGGAGGAGACGGGGGCCCAGGGCAGTCAGGTGACTTGTCCAGTGTCACACAGCAACTTGGTGGCCCAGCTTCCCAGACAGGCCCATCTGATGGTGGCTGCCTACTCTGGACCGTCAGGGGTTCCCTGTTCCTCCTGAATTTGGTGCCGGGTGGGCCTCCTCTCTCTTTCTCTGCCCTGCTCACATCCCAGACAGTCTGATGCCCTTGGGAAGTCCCCCTTGGCATTCCAGTGACAGCGCCGGCAGGAATAGTGGGATGATCCCTGCTCAGTCCCACCGGCACTGGGACGTCCTGCTTGAAGCTGACCTAAGCCTACTGTCTGCGTCTGCGATAGTCGCAGCCAAACAGGTTCCGTGGGGATGGAAGTCAAGAGGGTTTCTGTCGTACTTGTGTGTGTGTGTGAGAGGGTTGTCGGAGGGGAGGTATCCGCTCGCCCCACCTTTGCTCCGTTTTGACAAGCAGGAGCCGTGTTTACACTGAGGGTGGGGTGCGAGGAGAGAAGTGAGGCTCCTTCCTCCACCCATGAGCAGCAGAAAACCCTTCACGCTAGGCAGTCCTTCCCGTAGTCTGACCCCAACGCCCTATGTGCAGCACTAGCCTCTGGAGAGGGGATGCATTTGGCCAGCCAGTGCAGCCAGAGGGCATTTTGGCTGTGGGGAATGGGGGACGGGAGCAGCCCCCACCCCTGCTGCCCCTGGGAGAGCTGCCTGTTGTCTCAGTGGTTGGGGATGGAACGGAACCCCCTCCCAGTACCTTACCACAGACAGGCTACTCCCTCTCCGCACAAAGGCCTAGGGAGGTGCCAGGTTAATTGTCACCATCCTCCCAGGCTGCTGAGCACTCACCTCTCCTTCCCCTTCCTCCCCATCTGGCTGACCCCCCTGCTCTTAGATCACAGGGTGGCAGTTCTAGGAGGGACCTCAGAGAGCAAACCTGCCTCCCATTGTGCAGATGAGGAAACTGAGCAGCCCAGGTCCCCAGCCCATGGGCTCCAGGCAGGTGAGCCGACAGGGCGGTGTCCTTGGGCATGCAGGTCCTATTCCTCAGGTGAGGGGTTTGTCAGACCCCCTGCCTTCAGCCAGAGGTTGGCTTTGCCCAGGGAGCCCGTGGGCCTCTGGGTCAGGAAGGGCTGGTATGTGCCTTCCTGTGTGCAGGCAGAGCATGGCTCCGGGGACTTGCAGAGGTCACACAGGCCTAGGGGAAGACATGGTGCCACCCCCTGTCTCCAGGCATGTCACCACCCCTCTTAGTTCCCCACTCAGACTGACTGCTGGCCCCTTTCTCCTGCTCCATCTCCCCCACCTCTGTGGTCTGCATGTGAAGGTGAGTGGGCCCACCAGCGGCCTCTGCGGGCTGGTGACATGGCCCTCCCTGCCTCCCTCAGCCTCCTCTCCTGCTGCTGCTCCTGCTCACGCCTGCCTCCCATGGCTGCCGCTGGACCAGCCTTCCCACTGGCGTGCTCTCAGGGCCTCCCTCAGAGCAGGAGGGCACGTGAACTACAGAGGGGGCAAGTGGCTTGCCCAGGAGGCACAGCCTGCGAGTGGAGGAGCCAACACTGCTCCAGGGCCTCTTGCCAACTCCTGGTGGTCTTCCCCATACCCCCTTCACCCCCCTCTTCTCCTTCTCCACGAGCAAGGTCCCCGTGGCCTTTACAGGAGATGGAGAGGGACTGGAGCTAACAGATCTTTCCCATGGGATTGTGAGTCGGGGCCAGAGGGCTGGACAGGAAGGTGGAACTCTTGGGAGGTCATCCCCACTGGCCATCTACTTCGGAGTAGGACTGCAGGCCATGCCTTCACCAGCCATTCCTATGAGGGGGCGTCCTCTTGGCCATACTCAGAGCGCCTCCCTAGCCCATGCGGGGTGTGTATGTGTGTGTGTGTGTGTGTGTGTGTGTGTGTATGTGTATGTGTGTATGTGTGTATATGTGTACGTGTGTGTATATGTATGTGTGTATGTATGTATATGTGTATGTATATGTGTATGTATGTGCGTGTATATGTGTATGTGTGTATGTGTATGTGTGCGTGTGTGTATGTGCGTGTATATGTGTATGTGTATGTGTGTATGTGTGTGTATGTGTGTGTGTATGTGTGCGTATGTGTGTGTATATGTGTTTGCGCGTGTATGTATGTGTGTATATGTGTATGTGTGTATGTATGTGTGTGTATGAGTGTGTGTATGCATGTGTATGTATGTGTGTATGAGTGTGTGTATGCATGTGTATGTATGTGTGTATGTATGTATGTGCATGTGTGTGTGTGTGTGTGTGTGTGTGTGTGTGTGACCCCAGCCCACACAGCACGTTATTCCCAGACATCCCTCAGAGGCCAGAACCTCCTCACAGGCTCCCTGATTTCTCTCCGTGCCGCAGAGGGACAGAGGGGATGTGAAGCCAGAGGGCCCTCGCCTGTCCCTTCCCTTTGCCTAGAGCCCCCACCCCTACACTGGTTATGGCATCTCGCCCCCAGCCCACACATCCCTTTCAAGCCCCATGCTGCACTCCTACCCACCCCCTCTTCTCAGGCTCCTGCCTGGAAGGGGCTAATGGGCGGGGCCCATGATGGTGTTTTCAATAGAACAAACAGCACACCTGGGGCATGGTAAGTGCTATATGCATTTTTTTCCAAAATGATCCCATTTGATTATGACAAGCCCATTACACTGATGTGTACTGAGGCACAGGGAGGTTAAAGAATTTTCCTGGTCAGAGGTGGAGCCGGGATTCAAACCCAGTAATTTGGCTCCAGATTGCACACGCTTAACTGCTACCTGTGTCCAGTCAGGCCCTCGTGGCCTTTACAAGGAGATAGAGAGGGACTTGGGCTAACAGATCTCCTCAGAACGGGTGGGTCAGCTGAGACACTTCAGGCAGAGCCCCAGCAACCAGGCCCCCGGAGGCCGGCACCCAGGGCTCCCTGCGTCCACCCTGAGGAGCACCTGTCTCAAGGTCCAAGCTTGAGGGTCGGGAGGCTCCAGTCCTGCTAAAGACCTTCGAGGGCATTGCCTTGGCTCCTGGGCACAGGACCCCGACCCCTCAGGCCCCTCCCTGTACCTGCTCACCCTCTTGTCCCCCGCCCATCACCCCCACCCCCCAGCAGAGGCACAGAGTAATATCAGCTCTGGAGTTCAGGAAACAAGCCGCCCATCTGAGCCAAATTACATAGCTCATGAAGCATTCCTTTTAAGGGATTAATCTGGGTTAGGAGAGGAGGTGGCTCTGCAGGGACCTGCCTCCCCAGGGCAGCAGGCTAGTCTGCTCCTAGGCCAACAGCCCTCAGTGCAGGGCGCTGCAGCCAGCCAGGGCTCCCCACCCCCCACCCAGGCACTCCAGGTATGGATGCAGGAATGCTGGTCCGGGCACGTGAACGGGAGAAAGAAATGGTTCCCATCTCAAAGGCTACTGGCTTTGTGTCTCACAGACCCGAGTTCAAGTCCAGCCTGTAGATTTGCTGGTTGTGTGACTTGGGCAAGGCACACAGGCTCAGGACGGGCAGTTTCCTCGTGTGCACAGCGAGGGAACCAGGCCTGGGGTGTTGTGTGTGGGCTAAACGACACGCATCTGCTAAGTTCCCACAGAGAGCCAGGCACAAGCGATGCTCTAAACGCGCTGCTCTCTTCCCTGGGCCCCTCTCTGGGAGCACCCGCCTCCTGGGGACACGAGCAACAGCAGAGGAGCCCAGAGGCAGGGAGAGCAAGGAGCAGGCGAGAATGAGTCAGGGCAGAGGGGTGGCTCTGGTCTCGTGGTGGGGGCGGCAAGAGGTGGAGTTTTCCTCATCGGTAAAATGGGCATAAAATGACTTCTTCCCTAAGGTTGTTGAAGGAAAGAGAGATAAACATGGAAGCGCGCAGCGCAGTGCCTGGCACGTAATAAGCAATTAAGCAACAGCAGCTCTTACTGTTGTGACTATTACTCTTGGGCAGGGCCGGAGGGAGCAGAGCTGAGGGCCGGTCAGGAGAGGTTTCTGGAAGGAGGCGAGGGAGGAGCAGGTTTGGGAAGTGGACAGGGCTTCCTCAGAGCTCCTGAAGCCCTTGCCCGGGGGCAGAGGTGACAGGAGCGCCCAGACCAGCATGCTGCCATGGCATCGGCTCTAGGAAGTCAGGGTTCCGGGGACTCAGTCTGTCTGCTCAGGTGGGTGCCTGGCTGGCTGCCTGTCTCTGACTCGAGCATCCATCCCCTGCATTCCTATCTCTTGACTCCTCTGCTGCACCCCACTCAGCGGCCTCCTTCCTTCCGGAACCCCACACGCCTCCTAGGCTCCGGGGTGCTCCTGACTCCAGGAAGCTGAGCAGAGCCCGAGGGCTGGGCAGGAGGCTGGACCCTTGGGAGGTCATCTCCACTGTCCCTCTGCTCTGGAGTAAGACCACAGACCATGCCTTCATCAGCTATTCCCACGAGAGGGCATTTTCTTGGCCATACTCAGAGCTCCTCCCTAGCCCCTGCCTGGGGGGAAGGTGACCCCAGGCCGCATAGCACATTATTCCCCAGACCTCTCTCAGAGGCCCTCCTGGGGTCTCTTTCTCCCCCACACCAGGATGCCTCGAGGACTTCCCTCCACACCTCTCTGCTCAGAGCTTGCGGAGCTAGCAACGCCGGCTCCCCATTGGCTGGGGGCAGGGGTGGGGCATGATGCTCGAGGAATAAAGAATTCAGCCACCTGCCAGTCCTTACCTCTCTGGACCCTCTTCCCACGTTCACTTACCTTGCCAATCAGGGAGGCAAATTTATCATTGAGAACCTTCATCTCCTCCTTTTCTTGGTCTCTGCTGCTGGATGGGCCGGGTCCAGCCTTGGAAGTCCAGGGCACCAGCAGGCTGGGTTCACTCGTCACCTTGGATGTGCCAGCTGACC